TGGTCCGATAACAATCCACGATCCGTGCGGCCGGCGGATGCGATGCGCGCCTGCCGCGCTGTAAGCGACCGTGATAAAGCGGGCCCGCGTAGAATAAATGATCATGATCGTGCTGCACCAAAACCAAAGTGCCATGCCGTAATCGATTCGAAACCGAGATAAAGTATGTCTGAGGTTCTAAGTATAAAAGTGTGGTTTGATAAAAGATAATTTTGCGGTCTCTAAAAAAGATTATACATACAACAACACTCATTTGATATAGAATGCATTAATATTTTAAATGAGAGATGCAATAAGTTTTCACGTCGACACGTGTAGTCGCATTACTTTCGCAAACTGAATTATATAAATATATTGTACAAGAGAAAATCCACTTTCAATATTGGAAATCAATTACCGTAAAATATTGTAACAAAAATTGAAGAATTTTAAAGCAAATTATGTCTCAAAGATATCCGATACAAACAAAAGTTTGTTTTTTAGTTCCAGTTATTGTATATTGTGCTTCATACAAACTTTCTATCAATTTTATAAACAGAGATTTAATTCGAGATTCAATATAACAAAATATTCTTTAAACATTTGTGATAAAATATCAATCTTCGAAGAATCGAATTCCACTATATAAAAAATCTATAACAGAAGATTTAATACGAATAATCCTAAAATATTTAACACAATTTAAAAAATCCTAATAAATTAAGAAAAAGTATATACGCATTTCCTGCTTCAAGAATCATCGCCTAACTGAGATTTATCTGCGACTCATCCTGTCTGGAGTTGCGAAACGGCACATGCGTAAGAAACGTAATCTATTCGGGTTATATAGCTAATAAAACCACACAATGCGCAATTTGGTCATCGTCGATGAATGGATGTAAAATCCCTCAAGACATTTTCCTCGCTCATGATATAATGGGGAACCAACGCGCGGTTGAATGGTAACAACAATCGTTCTTCGCGGCACGAATCGAGTGAGCACTATGAAAGGCATAAATCGCTATCGTTTGAGCGAGTGCATGACTTTTATACATGCAAAACGCGATAATGGCGAGAAATACGTTTCATTGCGACTATTAAGAGTAGTCGATACCTCTCTCCATGCTCCTTACGTACACACTGCAGAATAATTGCTGTTCGCGGCAAACCGCTTTTTGCTTTGATGGATGAGTAGCGTAAATAAATATGTTTCTTCCTAATGATGCAGTAGCTTTTTACATAATTATTCTAAAAAAAACTTGCTGTTCACGGAACTACGCTTCTAATTAACGTTTCAATGTTATAACGAAAAAAATTTCACTAGGAGAAATTCATTATTAAAAGAGAAATTATGAAAAATATATTTATGTAATTATATGTTTTAAAAACACGCAAAATTTCACTTCAACAAATCTACGACATTGAAAGATTTATATTTTCAGATTCAAAGCAGACTTCCATCAAAATTCTGTTCAATTTAATCGCCATTCCCGGCAATATAATTAAAAAATTTTTTAACGTCGCGAAAGCAGTCGCTTCGAACGTTATTCGATATGATCATATCAAAGTGAAATTTGCACGATATTCGGCGAACTGCAAACAATAAACCGACTGAAATCAACGCTTTGCTTCGTACCATGAAAACAGGCTCGTATATTTTGACGATAACGCGGCCGATGGAATACTTCACAGACTTCGAAAATCTCCAAAATGTCGTCCACGGAACAACACGCTGTGATAAAAAATAATTTACAGACTAAGCGATGACTCTGCGTACCGCGCGATCAATTATCGTACATACATACATATAGAGCAGTGACAGTTACACGCTGACGTTAGTTGGGGGGCGTTACGATTTATGACAGCGCGATGAGTGCCTGCGTTGTGGTCCATTTATGTGAAACGATTATAGTATATCGTTATTATTTCGACATATCTCATCGATAAAAAACGCCATTTTCTGTGATTACTAAGCTATTTCACATAAATAAATATTTTATCTCGCTTGAAAGTTCACACTTCGTGTAACTCTTAATTAAAATAAACCAAAATAAAAGTCTCAAGAGTAAAAAATATCTTAAAACAATATGAATAAGCAATATACTAGTAATATTTCATCAAACTCAGTCGAATCAAATATTCGAATTTCGTAAAAAGTAAATAACAAGTTCGCAAAGTATGCAAAAATATTTTATATTAAAACAGTATTGTTATATTTTTATGTTTATAAATAAAAAAACATAAAATGGCGATAAATCAGAAAACAAAATTCCAATTCTCGTTGGAAATATTTATGAAACATATTAAAACAAAACAGAGTTGCTCAATGCAAATCTTTTTTTATATTTTCCTTTTACTTTTTTTCATTTATTTATCTCTTTTTAATCTCCTCCATTTACGTAGGTATAACTTCTTCTAAAAAAGCATTATTAATAAGAAATACTATTGTTGTAGAAATACTATTATACTATTATTTAAAAAATTAATTTTTTCAAAGATTCCAAGTATATTAGCCGCATATCATGAATACAATGAGAGCAGCGACATGCTAAGCACGACATGTGTCATCCTATCAGTCAATCTGATCAATGCCACACGATCCGTTCGCTTTTATCCTAATGGACGACTTCTTGACGATAGTGCTATCTATCATTTAGGGCAAGCTTGATCCATGTCGAGTTGAGTGTATACACGTCGCGCGTACAAAGAATATGAGTCCGACCGGCTGTCATTATTTATACATAGTACTTTTAACCGCCAGACGACAATTATTGAATTTTTCCCGATAGGAATTCTCGCGCGAAAATAGCACGCGATAATTAGACGTGTGAAGAGTTATGCAATAATTAGACACGTGAAAAATTGATCATTGATAAAAGATGTACAGGGGGGGAGTAGTAAATCGAGAGAAATATTAAAAGCCGATTAAAGATTTATACGCATCAGGATAAAATATTTAAACAATTAAAATTGTATTAATAACTAAAATGTAAAGCGTAATGTTGAAAATATAAATGCGGCAGATACCATACCGAAATGTTATTATGATAAAATATTTCGGTAATCGCAATATGATATTCACGACGTGTCACTTGATATGTTAATCGCGATATCATTCCGGGAATGCGATATTCCGCGAAGAATGCCGAAGTTTAGCTGTTGAATAAATACGGGCCGACCTACGTGCAAATTCTACGCAGAGACACTATTCATTTCACTCTTGTCCTACCTCTTTCGCCTTCAGATTTTCCCGTCGTGCTTATGTATATGAAAGCCAAATGAAATAAACCGTAATACACAGAGGCGTATAATTTGCACGCTACGTTGCCGAGGCTTCGCAATCGCGAGTATTCGTACAGGCTGGCTTTCAAATGTATCAAGCGAGTTTTGCGTCTCGTCGCAGCCCACGAAATTACTAATGGTGGCACCGTGTAGCAAGCCGGCTCGAGGAACATCTGGCGCGTTAAGTAACGCGCGGCTACTGATTGCAACCAGGAAACATATATTCGCAACGCTTTGCAAACAAATCTGTCGAGAGTATGTTATTTTTGGCATGAATGAATATACGGCGTGCATCAAGAACTATTCTTTTCAACTAATGCTATTATTTATTTCAGCGAAATAATTAAAACAAGTAAATGATTTATTTGAATATCGAGGACTATAGAGTATTTATCCAAATCTTGGCAAAAAGTTTATAGAGAATTTTCTAACTTTTCACGCGCATTTTCGATCAATGTCCAGAGAAAAAGAGAGCATTTCTTGCATGCAAATTTAAAATAAATTGGTTTGAGCTTCTTAATGTTTCTTATTCATGCTCGTAGAGAAAGTATTAAAAGCCACTCTACTTTTAAATATCAAGTTTGAAAAAGTACTGAAAAGAAGTGAAGAGCTAATTAACCGATCACAAAATAAAAGCAAAATCTTCGCGAAGACACTTTCAAGAAGAATTTTTAATTGTCGATAAAATTTCCCGAGTATCCCTTGATTTCTTCCAAGTAGAAAGAAAATTCCTCCGGAAAGAATTCCGGTTTTTCAGGTTTTTTCCGGATAAACACCATATTTTATAAGCGTGTGAAGATGAAAGCATTTTCGCGGATGCATGTAAATGAATTTTAATATCTCGAGTATAAAATAATATCTATTTTAAATAGTAATATATAGCTAATAAATAAATTATTAACTCAGCATTAATCAGCGAGCAATAATTAGCAATCTCAATAATAACACAATTATAATACGTGATATCAAGTGTGGCTACTTTAAATAATTTCCGCGCAATAATTGCTGGAAATAATTTCTTCTCAAAATCGAAGAGTTCAAATTACCGGCAATCAACGAATATTACTTAAATGCGGAACAATGCGCCAATTAAATGATGGGCCATTTAAGTAATACCCACCAATTACAGTTAATACCTCGTTCTAGCAAGCCTAGAAATTCCCCAGCTGTTCACCGTCGATGGAAGATTAATACTGTCTATTTAGGCCAGATTGCGTCGGCCAGGACTGTATGTTAACTAATCCTAGATTAGCGGTTCGCTGTCGTTTTCTACATTACAGCTCAATGCGCAATATGGCGAAACGAGATTCAGTCAATCAGGCTTAGTGCCGGTCATTGCTGACAATTTATTAAAACGTGTATTATCACGTAAAAATGTGTTATACAAAACATTATGTAAATATAGAAAAGTTACTTTCAATTAATCATGTCAACTGAGAAGATAAAATGTATTATAAACTTATCCATACAAAGATAGAAGATTTTAATTCAACATTTCTCTAATTTAATTAATATGGTTATTTCTGAAATTTATAATGAAAAGGTTTATATTAAAAGAGTTTGAGTTTTGAGTGAAAATTTCTAAAAAAAAAAAGTTGCATCAGAGAGGAGGTTAAAGGACGAGCATCGCGAATAGTGCTAGGCGCTTACGTAATCGTTACAAATTTGCCAGCTACATTCCGAAGTGGCAGTTCCCCTTCAATTCTCGTTCTTGCACGAGACCTTACGTAATCTCTTACCTTTCTCACTTTCTCGCCTCTCTTTCTCCTCTCTCTTTCAGCGACGCTCGAGTTTGCGAGTCTTCAGAGTCCGCCCACGTGTCAGATAGCTCATCTCTTTCTCTCTATACCGATCTCTATCTTGCTCTTTCACCTTCCCTCGCAGTTCGAGCTAAGAGGCAGCCTTGGCCTTTGAGGTTTCAAACGAGATCCATCGAAGCCCTCTTTTAGGTCGACTCGTCCTCTTCTTTCTCTATTGATCCTAGAATACATGTCGTCACACTGAGAACTCTAGCATGTCAATAGCAGGCACCCCATGTGCCATTTTAACGCTTCTAATAGGGTGATCTTTTCCTCATTGATCTACCCTTATTGTACTTTTCTTTTTTCATTTACGATTACAACAATTATTCGCTGATTGACATATACGAGAGTAAGTCAAAGAGTCGCAACATTATCTATAAATCGCAGTAATAAAAAAAAAGTTTAAGAAATAAAAAAATCTTTAAAAAAAATTCCTTAACTTTTTGACTTTTTCTCGTATGTTAAATATTTTACTAAATATTTGATTACGAAAGACAAAAGTGTGTGTGTGTAAAAAGTTACGAAAAGTCACGACATTAAAAATAAAATTTCGAATACTTTTCTTCCATCTTTGAGACTCGGTTGAGTCATAAATAACTTCCCTTGCGGTAGCAAATATTTATCAAAGAAACGGAAGTTGTTCATGATTCAACGCAATATATAGTGTATCTACGATTAAAAGTACAAACGTTCCATAACAATGTTTTAAATAAAAAGCGCACGGAAAATCAAGTTTGGGATTAAATATTATTCGATTGTATTCAAAGAATTTATTCGACAAAATGAGTTCGCGACAGATAACCTACGGATATCCCAGGATGTGGTATTCTGGAATAAAGGACACCCGACGTGACCGAAATAAAGGCCGAAATATTCGAACGAAGTGGCGCCGATGCAGGAACTGACCTTCTCAATGCAACCGGTTTTACATTCACAGCCCCCCTCGTCCCCCTTCCGCAACGCAAGCGGGATCCCTTACTCGGCATTCACTGAATATATAGCAGCCGCACCGTTTCAATGTCCCTTCTTACAAGAATGGACCGCACAATTTGTCCCCAAGCTATTCGTGTCTCTTGCGAAATCGCGCGATCGTAAATACGGAACCGTTTCTGTTCTGGTGCCAAGAACACGATTGTTGACACCGTTGTTATTATAGAAATTGCAATGCCAATATTTAGCGTGAGATTATTAACGTATAGCACAATTTTTATCAATTTTTTCATCAATTTAAAATAGATATTTTTTTAGAAAAAATTTAAGTAGCTTGTTTTTTGAGTAAATTGTCAATAATGTGTCTTTCTATATTTTAAATTATATTGAATTGACATTTACACGAGGCGATTACAAAGATAAATATATACAATATTTATAACTACTACTTTTCAGACTTTGTCGCAGTTTCAATCAACAATTACTCACCTGACAGTCAATGTCAAGGCAGTGTTCTTCTCACTTGAGAGTCCGATTTAAATGTCACTTTTGCAAACGTTGCAACTTGCAAATCGCATCACGTACGCGCGTCGAAAGTATGCGGATCTTTTATCTCGGTTATCCAGCGAAACGTGACTCGCTTGGCGAATAGCGCGATGAAACCGCCAGTATGAAACAGACGAAAAATCGAATCCGGAAAACACGAAAACGCACGAACCGCACGAAACGCTCCTCTTCGCGAGAAGTCTCGGCGCAGACTGAGCTCAAGCGCAGCTCGCCGAAGCCGGCTACCTAGTAGTCAGCGCGCACGGCTGTAGGTTGGTGCGCGCTGGCTGGGGGTCGGCGCGTCGATTGGTCGTGAACCTATATATTGTAAATCAAATAATCTGACCGTAGACGTGAAAGATAACATTGTAAGTCGTAAGAAGTTAAATTTAAAATTTATGAAAAACTTATTATTTTACGTAGGTTTTCCGCATGGAAAACACGAATGTTAGACGATCAAGAAATCGTCGAGACAATATGATGAATTTTTTAGAGCTATTTATGCTAATAAAAGTTGACAATTTTGCAATTTAAAATACAGTTAAATATGTGGAAAAACAAATAAAACATTAATAAAGTCCCGGATAAATTCTAGCTGAGCTCAATAAAGTATCTAATTTTGTGTTATCCCAATTATATATTGGATTATTGGTTTTTTGTACTAATTAGATTCAAGTAATAATTTGAATATTCTATGTTATATTTGTGGGAGTATAATATTTCGCACATCGGACGTACGTCGATCCGAGCCGTATTAGAGGCGAGTCGACGGTTTATGTTGGTCTAACTATGTGTATTGTTTAATTTATGTGTGTATTATTCAACGAGGTCAGCGATGTTTTGAGGAGCGATGCTTTCGACCGACGATGACGATCTCGTTTTAAAGGAGAGAACGTCCGCGACCGAGAGAACAACTCTGATTTTCCGTATCTTATAATTTTTACTTTAATAAATCTACTGGTTTTAAATAAAATAAATTAGTTAATAACCAACCAGAAATCCTACATATTCTTTTATTAAAAAATTTTCAAAGATGAGAAACAAATATAATTCTTTATTATGAAACGATATATATATTTTTTCCAGAAGGTTCTATTTTGAATAAATCTATTTTGCAAAAGAATATTTCGCAAAGAATATGTCGATCGCGAAATATATACCAAAGCATGCCAAGAAGCACTTTCAATAATTCAAGAGCTTACATTGTCCTCTCAAAGCTACAAAGAAGTGGTGACAAAAAGGCTCGTTGCACATTAAATTAAAACGAGCAGCATTGTCGCACATCCGCGACTTGAATACGACGTAACAGCCTTAGCGAATGCAAACGCGGCAGTGCACGAACTCCTCGGTCTAGTGCGTCTGACTACGTTTCCTGCGTGAAATTAAAATATGAAAGGACGTATGAAAAATATCGCGCGACCTTCGACGCCAAAGGCAAATGATAGAAATCAATGTCATCCCATTTTTATCCGTGCGACACGCAATGCGCGACTCGAAGCTCGTTCCGCACCATTTTACACGTTGTGCAGCGCAATTCTATTTTCGTGCCACTCGTTAAAAAAGCTCGCTCAGACTTTTACTTCGCATTTAGACATCTTTTGTATCGCGAGAGCGAACAATGCACCTAAAATCCGAGCATTTTCAGCAAATGCGAACAGCGGAGTTATTCTGAATTGTCCTTTTAAGATACGCGCGCTTTTGAATGTGTTTCGTGATACCGTGCGAATGTGTGCCCCGTCTCTCACTCGGAAAACAATGCGTACGTGCATAAAACGACAAAACTCGGCAGATTAGGAAGAATGCATTACGCGCGCGCTTACTCGCACGGCATTACCGCGCGCGCGAGCGCACCTTACAAAAGCCCCTCCCGTCCAGGTCCACGGAGCTTCTACCTTCCAAATCCTATTTTGCGACGGCTTTCCCATTCGGCTCGTCGCGGCGTTAAAAACTTTTGAGACTACCGAGGCGGACAGTTTGTCGGTTTTAGTTCGTGCCTAGAGAATCCAGCAGGATCCAATAAAAAAAACATGCATGCGTCCGAATGTAGCAGAAAATCTCGCAAATTGCCCTCGGCGGACTTACTCTGTACTTCTTTGCGTGCTGAAGTCCCTAACAAAATATTGATGTTAGTGTAGCTATAAAATATTCTGAAAGTACACAGTGTAATTCCCCCCAAGAGTCTCTTGTCTTTTTTATTATTGATAATTAGATGCGACATTATATTTACAGCTTTTCAATTCTTAATATTATTTTAATGACTGATCATCAAACTGAAACTTCGCGGATTTTTTCGGAGAAATTTAATTATGTTAGAAATTTTAATAACGCAAGAGAGAGAACAGAATTGGCTTATTTTTATTTATAACTTGAAGAATATTAATATGTTGATATATTTTTTAAAGCAAAAACGTCAAATTGATTGACAAACTCGGAAATACGTAAATAACTTACCACTTTTTATGCTACATTTTCCATTTCCCTCATTCACTTGAATATTCAGTCAATCAAAATAACGTAAGATATATTATATATTTCAATTTTCATCTCTGCACATATTTTTCTCTTCATTTAGCCAGTATTAATAAAAAAAAAGTAAACAAAAAAATCGTAACATATTCTAATTTCCTGACTCTTCGTTAGCCACAGCGTGATCAAACCAGTATTTTCAAGGCGGACAAAACGCAATTGCATGTTCACTCGTACGCGTGAATGAGCTACCATCGTGCTACCATAACGTCAACATCCCCACCCGTAAACGTGCAACTATAACTGCGCTAATATTAAACATGTGCGGCTATTTTGTACACGAATCTGCGCGAACCTCGACCCTTCGCCTGCCCTCCCACCTCCCGATTCGTGTTTATTGTTTGCACCATCTCTCGTTTCTGCTCAGCTGGTTAATAACGAGCCCGCTTGACGTCCCTGGAACTTTTCGTTATTGATGCGGATTGTCCATCATGGTCGCTGACGGCCATTAGTCTCGCATCACTTCCCAAGTTATTGCTTCTTCGGGAAAAAAAGGTAAAAAAATATATTGAAATAAAAAAATTAACTGTAAAAAGGCAAGATACTAAATTAAAATATAAAATAACTTTTATGCAAAGAAGCAGGATGCGTATTAGAACAGAAAAATTTCATCCAGTAAGATATTAAGAGTTAATAAAATTATTATTATATAAAAAAAACATTAACATAATAAAAATTGGCTTCAAATAATCAAATACTTAGCGAAATACGAATGCACAGCAAAGATGAAAAAGATTTGAATCAAAGTTACCAGTTTACCGGTGAACTTAACGACTTAATCGATATATCTAGCATCAAGAACGAGAATTTATGCATACGTTTTATTTGTCGCGCGAAAGAGTGAGTGTGCACGCTTATCGCGATGATCGCGTTCGCGCTTCGCGGCAAAGCCGACAGGCAAATCCTGTTCCACGCTTCACGAGTGCACTTGGCGTATCTCTGCGAGATCTCACGCGCGGTTAAAGGCCGGCGTGCCAGACGTCGTTTCAGACGGCATTTCCAACCGAGCGTAATTAAACGACGAAAGGTAAAAAATGTGTTCCGGCAAAAATCTCATTTGCACCAGTAATTAGGAAAATGAGCGCTAATATGTGAATTGCAAATATGGGAAGAACTAAATTAATCGTGTACATCATTTTGCATTGTTGTACGTCAAGTACTTGCGAAACCGTTAGG